AAGGACACTGTCTTTGTTTTGCTCTGATGGAGTTATGTATTAAAATCACTTTTTCTTTACATATGACTGTTCTGTTTCCAGAGTGTGCATTTCGGTGAGTACCTGTACACCTATAGTGCACAGTTTGCCATCCGAGAAGGGCTTTTATCTTCGTATGACTAAGAAAGATGTGGGTTATTTCTCTGATGTCCTGCTGCTGCTGCTAATAGTGCACAGGCAGATGGACATAGAACTTTCAGTGTGGCACAACGTGGGAAGGCTGCTTTGTCCTTTTTCTGACAAGAAAAACTTCTGTGGGATTCCAAAGGTGTAATTTGTTTTAGTTTACCATGCTGTATTTAAAATACTCCAGAAATGTTGTTAATGCTCTTAAAAAATAAAATGAATATTGCTGCTGGACAGTATATTCCACTAAAAACCTGTGAATGTTTCATTTTGCAGTTATAGGCTGTTGTGTCCCTGCTGACGGGTGTAAATTGGTGACTTGTCTGGACTGATCACCGTAAGATTTGTTTCTGAAATACCTTCTTTGAAGTGCCTTTGACCAATTTTTAGCATCAAAATTAAGTTCAGAATTGAATAAATGAAATAAGTTATCTCCATACACTGCGTGTCTGTCTTCATTTGCCCGCCCTGTATGCCAGTAGTGTGGCAGCACAGTGGAGTGCAATAAGAATATTCTCTTTCCTTGTGTGTTCGTCAGTTTTGGTGGTTGCAGGAAAGGTGGAAAGCTTGCTGAGTTCTCTGTTACGCATGCTACTAGCAAGTAGCAAGCTACATAGAAAACTTTATTTAAAGAAAATGTTAAATTAATTACAGGTGCTAGCACCAGATCCACACAGCCAGACTGCTGTTCCTTCATTGTGCTGATTTTCACTGTCTCCATGTTATTATAGCATCCTGAGTGAACTGACTGTAGCTGATGCTCAGAGATAAAGCAACATTATTCCAAATGCACCACATTTGAGGAAATCCCGCTTATAGAAAGCTTCACAGGCTCAGGGGAATTTCCTACACTGCTTTTCTGTGCGCTGATATGAGTTTAAAAGGAATTTAAGTCAATATTTTCCATCCAGGGACTGAAGGCTCTCTGATTGCAGGGTGGATGCACTTGTGCATTGCTGGTTCCAACGCACTGCAAAATGGTCTGCAGCCTTCCCTCCTTTTTGAGAGTTTTTTGCCTTTATGAGGCCCTCCTTTGGGTTCTACAGATGTTGTGGTGTGGTGAGTAACTTCTTTTGACAACTGTGAAAGGAATCAGAAAGTCAGAGCCCTGAAGTGAATATTTTCATTGTTGCACTTAGGAAATAACATAGACATGGAAAAGCAGCTGGATCATGAGAAATTATTTCTAGGCATTAGGGTGGTATTTGGTGTCATTTATAAAGGAAAGGTGAATACTCACATCAGAAATGTAGGCAGAGCTCTGTGCTTTTCCAGCTTTCTAGTACATGTGTATATATATTCCTGCAACCCTAGCCACCTTTCTTTGGCTTATTTGGTTCCAGCTGAAGCCTTGGGTGCTGGAGCCTGCAGCGGTGCTGAGCCAAACTCCAATGTTCCAGTTCCACCTGGGACTTCTCTGATGTGTCATACTGCTCTTGGGATGAAAAAGTTGATTCTTTTGCACATTCAAGGTATTGCCTTCTCTTTGAGAGGCTCATGCCAGAACCTGGCTTGTCATTTTCATGCTTCAGGTGTCTGCGGCTCACTTCAGGTCTGGATGCAAAAGGTCATACATGAGGTTAGTAATCTACAAACTGTGTTGAAATCAGCCTGCCTAAATGAGCCACTACCAAAGCAAGAGTCAACCTGAGGGTTATAGATTAAGGAGATCTGAGTAGATTGATACATGAGTTTCTCAGGAATGTTTGTTAAAACACAAAGTTGGTTTGAACAGCTGCTTATCTCCTGATATTTAGACTACAGCTTTGCTTGAGGAGGTGAGCATTTGCAGGATACAGTTCTTAGTTTTACAGACCTGCCTATGGCCTTTGTGAGCCCATCCCTTTGGCATCCTGAAATCCACAGGGCTGATTGGTTCCTTTGAATCTCTGTTCTGTCTCCCAGCAACTCCGTGCCCTCTTGGTTTGTCCCCTCATAGGATGAAGTGCTCACTCGCTGAAAGGAGAGGAACATTGTCACTAACTTCACTCATAAGCAAACCTGGTCGGTGTGTCCTGCTCTGTTCCACCCCCAGTATTCAATGTTCCCAGCAGCTCTAAATTCTTCATAGTCTCATGTCAAGGTTCTTCTTCCCCTCAGCTGACCAAAAGAACTTCGAACTTCATCTGTTTTGATACCCTGCACCTTTAAAACCTTATTCTATGATTTACTCCATTGGTAATTGCACTTGAGTTTTTAATGAGCAATCATCTGAACATCACACTGTTAGGTGTCGTCAGCTCCTCCCTTCCTGGAGACAGCACGACATGGAAGATAAAAATTAACTAGGGGGAAACCCTGGATGCTCGGTAGAAATCAAAACTAACAGATGTCTGTGTAGTTGCAGTTGTGGTGTTGTTTTAATGAATAACTGTTGTCTCCAAACTCCCTACAGCTGTAGTCCAGCACCCTGCAGAGAAAACCATACCTGGAGATCTGATGTTTTTCCAGCACAGAACAGCACTTGACCAGCACCAGTAGCTCCAGCATTTATCACTGCAAACAGCAACTGCCACGTGTTCCATCATAGATTCTTGTGAGATTGAGAGACTTTGCTTACAGCTTGCTAACTTGCTCTATGCTACTGAGTGACATGAAGGACTGCTGCACAAAGAATGCTGTAGACATAAAGCGTTGGTCAAGGGCTGCGTTCTGAACCTCATGGTGCAACAGGAGGGTTTCCCCCAGCAGTTCTGTCTGTCCCAGTTCAGTACATAATCAAGTCACCAGTCTGGTATAACCTTTGTTAAATCCTTACCTTACAGCAATGAAACCTTGCTGCTTCTTTCATATGAGAGTGTTATATGATCTCATCCACAACACATAACTAAAATCAATTGATAAATTGGAGGCAGAGCTCTCCTGTTCAGCAGCTGGTAGACGTTCAGTGTGAATAACGAAGTCTTTCTTCCCTTTTGCCAGTGTTATCTCATTTTTAGCAGACAACAGGCAGTGTCTGTTTACCCACACATTTGTTGTGGAGCATTTGTTGCCCCACTAGTTGCAGGCATCCTGCTTTCAGAGCTGCTCTGTAGCAGCTATGCTGGGGTTTATGGCCTTTATCTTTGTCAGCTTCCAAAGCTACATTTCATGCAATGTATTCAGACTAATGCAAGTGTTATTCACAGTCTCTAAAAGCAGAAGCTGTCTCACCAAACTTAGATCTGAATGTTTACAAATTTAAGACAATCCTGATGAGAGAGAATCTCCTGCATCAGCTCTATCTTCTTGCTTTAAAGCCATCACTACGAAAACAGCATTCAGTCTTACTAGCATCTCCTCAGTGAGCTTAAGGAAAGAAAAAAGGAGTACAAGTCACGTGGGTGTCCCATGCTGATAAATTCACCACCATCTACAATCCCACAGCACTTTGTCAGCATTGCAGGGAATATGTTGGCACCTGCACGTTTTCCTTCTTCTCCCAGGTGCTGCTCAGCTCTGCAGCCATCTCCTCTCCCTTCAGCTACTGGCAGAGCTGAGCCGAGCCTGCCTCCTTGCTCACAGCTCCCGTGTTGCTTTTCATGTCCCCCTTTCCTTCCAGAGGAGCAGGATATCCTGGCAGGAGTTCTGCCCACCATTCTGACTGGTGCTATGCAAACTCTGGCTTTTATGACCCATTCTGTAGAAGGGTGGTGAGATGAGTATGCTTTGTCTCAGTGTTAAAATATATTACTTCCTTCCCTTGGGAAGTTCCCTTCTGTGTCGTATATACATGGCTTTTTTACTGCTGTTATAGGTTGTTTGCCTTTCTCCTTTCAGTTATATATCCCAGTTAATGTACAATTGGTTTTAAGGGCATAAATCCCTCTGTGCTCCTCAGTAACTGTTCCCACTGACTGCTGAACTCGGATCAGGTTTTGTTGCTGTGCAGAGGGTAACAGCTACTGGCACGGGCCTGCTGGTTACAAAGGTTGCTTACCTCTGACAAAGAGTAGGCAGCTGCTATTAAAAACTCCATAGCATTATTATGGGCAAGAATATGATCCAAGCCAATGTTTGTGCATGAAAGCTCTGAAGTGTTTTCATACAGACCTGTGCCATATGTAAGTCCACAGCTTAACAATTCCTATGTGATTCCTAAAGAACAGGAAACAAATACATGAGGAGGGAAACACTTTCCCTTGATGTTCAGTTCAGCATCATACAGAGATTTAGCATTTAATCACTGTTTCATTAATACATCTGGTCCATGTTAGAGGGAAGAAGTAAAGTGGATAAAGAAGGCACAGTTAAAGAAATGCAGTATCCAAAGTCTTTTCTCCAAGGCCCATGGAGGATGATGCCCAAACAAACACTTGGCACCCTATGGCCTGGGCAGTGCTGTTTAAAAAGATTCACCTCTTGTTCATTTGGGGGCATCATTTATTCCTCTGTTTAAGCCTCATGAAAAAATGCTGGTATTTATGAAAGGCGACATGGTTATGGAATGCGATGCAATGGTTTCTTTTTTCTTGTCATTTTGTGCTAATCTTGCTATTAAAAAGGTTTGCACTGCTTATCTGTTTTAGTATTTCATAAATTGCTTTTGTCATCAAACTAAACTGAATTCTGGATACTGGATTTGAGACATAGCCAAGAGAAAAGTCTCTCGGTATCTCCTCCAAGTTTGAAAGTATGTTGATACTGCACTTCAGTACTGTTTTAAGTTTTGAATCCACCTATTCAGCCAATTTGAAACCTTCTTGTTCTTTCATTTCCTCACACTTTGTGTTTATTCCCATCTTGCTGAATTCATTTGGACATCTGTTCACTATTAAATTCTCCAGCACATAGATATAGTTGGGTGATATTGCACAAGCTGTATTTCTGAGCAGGAACTCAATCCTTCCATGATCTTTTCACATCACTAGTAGGAAATTTACTAGCTTGAAAACTTTCATCTGACTTGCTGATTATTCCCAGCCCTGTACATAGCTGGATATCACAAGAGACAATCCTTTGCAGTATATTTTGAAGCTATTTACTTTTCTGATTAAAAAAAAACAACAACAAACAACCAGGCCCATTGAAGTTGCATTCTTCTATAGCACTGAATCCCTTCATTTTCAGGCTTCTACAAAGTATGTAGTACAACGTATTGTCCTTGTGTTCCAGTGCTTCTTTTCCAGCCAAGATTAATCGCAGCTTCATGGTTGTTTTTCTTCTTGGAGTGACCATCATATTTCATTCTGAGTATAAAAACAGTGGCATTTTTGGAGGCTACCATCAGTTTTTTAGTTTCTAATTTGAAACTCACTAACAAAGCTAATTTTTTTTTGAAAAAAGTATTTAATTCTCCTAAAATTCAAGCACTTCATTTCATAGAATAAGGTTAGTGCCTCGTTTGCTATAAAGCAGTCCATTTTGCATGGTATATGCTATCTTTTGGGCACCTGGAGAAAAAAAAATGTGCAAGCATTGCTTAAACATATTAAGATCTGTTCAGACTGTATATACAGATCACAGGTTTTCTTGTCTACAAAGGAATAAGAATGCCAGACTCTTTATCAGATATTGCTTTCCGTTTTAATTACAGGCTCATAATTCTCAGTTTTAATGATAATTCATTAGGATTACTGCTAAAAGTAGAAAGAATGTACGTAAACATTTATATGCATTTTTCAGTTCTTTTCCTTTTTTACTTAATAGCATATTATCGGAGTGAAATACATATATATTTAAACACAGAGACCCTGAGAAACTGAAATTTGCTTACTTGCCATAAAGGACATGAAGAATCCTGGTTTTAATGTAATTTCAAATGAAAGTCCCACTCTTGTAAGTGAAAAGATTATACTGGTATTAATATAAATGTGCTTTAATGGGAAAACCCTCCCCTCTAATTAATTTTGCTGTGGCATTTACATTCACAAGAGATAGTCTAATTAGTGAAAATCTTAAATTATGACACTAAATGCTGTCATAAGAGTGCTAATGTCAGAGCTACTTACTCTTGTTTAAAACTAGAGCACATTTTTTCCTTCCAAGAGAATAAGAGACCTCTGCCATTAAATTCCATGTGAACACTTCCAGCATTTTAATCCTAAAAATAAAATCTTATCCTTGCCACATTAGTATTATCAAATTACTATGAGTTTGAAGGGAAAAGGTACGTTCCCATGCATGTGTATGTGTAATAAAGTTATTGTTATGATGTTACAGATAACATATGCTGTGCAGGAATCTCATGAATTCCACAGTGGCGAAAGCAGTGGAGCGTGGTGGCAATATATTCATGTTCACATGTCATTTTAGATTCTTCTCAGCCATTTCTTCCTTAATACACATGAACTTCTTGCTTTAAAAACTCCAAATGGCAGTAATTTCTAGAAGAATGAGGAATCGATTAGTTTTCTTGGAGTGTTCAGAAAGAAATATGCTATAGCTCAACAGATTTTTCCTGTACTGAAAGATGAAACAGAACTTAATACAGTGTACTGGGGAGGAGCTAAATGTTTTTTGTAAAGGAAATTATGCACTATGGATAAGCAAGCGCTTTGAAGACCATCACTCAATGAGTATGTGGGCCTAAGGCAGTGAGGAAGTCTGTCTGGATTTCTAAAAGATAAAGTCTCTCACCAAAGGAAAATTATATTGGATTAAGAGGAAAAATCTTCTGATTTATAAACAGTGAAAAGGAAAGGGTATAAATGGCTGCTGGAAAGAAGGCACTGGAAGATGCATGCTACAATAGTCTGTCCTACTCAAAATGATCATAAGTGATCTAGTGAAGGGAGTAAAAAGTGAGATGACCAAGTCTGTGACAATATTATCTTTCTCTAGAGTAGAAAAGGAAAGAGGTGACTGCAAGAAATTGTAGAACACTGTGATGTTGACAGAATAAGGTGTGAGTGGAAAAGGAAAAGTGAGTTTTGAAGAGTGTGAAATTGTACATATGAGAAAAATGATCCCAAATCCACGTATAAAATGATGGCTTTTCAGCTAATCCTTAAAATGAGGCCTTGGAATTTTGATCTGTGAATATGTCACCTTAATTCTCAGTAACAGTAAAGAAAACCCAACAAACTCAAATACAACATGAGAAACTGTAAGATAAGGAGTAAAAAGCAAAGTAGACAACTACTGTGTCACTGTATAAATTCATGACTACGAAGTGCAATTCTGCTCCCACCATCTCAGAAAGGAGTAAACCCTGATCAAAGGTGTAAATAATACGTATGCACAGTATTGGAGACAATTAAGTATTATATCTTTTTAGCCTGGAAAAGAAGTGCTTGAAGGAGAAGAACCCGATGGAAAGAAAACTTACTTATTCATCAATGCAGGTTCCTTGACATTCTTCTTGTGTTTCAAATCTATTGTTGGTACCATTACAACCTCCATACCAGAACTGGCCACAAGAATTGGCATTCTTGTCATAATACCATTTCACTACATAGTTCCGGCAATCACCTGGTTTCATAGGTTCCAAGCACCTGGGATCTGAAAGCATATCTTTAAAAGTTAACTTGGATTCTGGTATCAATTACATTACCCTACCCCTCCATTACATTACCCTATCCGTCCATTATTTTTTTAGAGCATCTTTTTTTTCTTTTTTTCTTCCTCATAATGCCTGGAATATATACACATCTCAGATTTGTAGCCAAATTCCATTTCAGTTAATGAGATATACGAATAGATCTAAACAAACACATGACTGGTTTGGAATCAGGCTACCCACATTCTGATGCAAGACTCAAATAGGCATTTAAATACTTAAGCACAATCAATACACAAGGGCTGTCATCTAGGTTTGAAACTCTGAGTATGGTGGCTGCAGCCAAAACACCCAGAAAAACAAAAGATGATAAAATCCAGTAACTATATGAAGGTGGGAGTAGGGATTTTTGGTTGGTTGATTTTGGTACAGATCTGCTACCCAATATTCAGACAACAGTACGTACCTTTATGAGGTTTTGCGACCTGTGATCGCTGTGCTGTTGCGTGGCGATCTTTAGCAGCAGTAATATTGAGCAGAGGGTTGACAACTGGACTCTGACGTCTGATTTCATCTATGTTGGAAAATGGAGGGAATCTCGATTCTCTGAGCACAGAGGTGGTCACCGTGTGATCCTGAGCAGACGGCAGCGGCTTCGTATACCTGGTCTGTGGTGGGCTATGCTGCAAAAGGAGTCAAAATCTGTTAACATTCTGTCAGAGCTCAAGTGTGAAGAGAAAAAGAATGAGAGAATTATAAAGGAAAGTAATTGTATTTTTTACACACATTACTTCGCAATAATGGCAGGTGGGTTCAGACCTTGTTCTAGTGATTTCTCAGTAAGGGACCATGATTTTAACAAATGCATTTTCTGGTGCTGACAGCTAAATGAGAAGAGAAAGTAATTCCTTCCATTTAGTCACTAAGCTGAATTAGTTCCATTGCCGTAAAATTTCAGCCAGTGCTTATTTGTAATATAAACTAACAAAGCAAGGAACTATGAGGTAAGTCTCTGCTTTCAGATGTCTGTTACACTTGCTGGTAAAGAGCTGAAATCAAGTCTGTCAAAGAAAGGGAAATGGTAGGCAAGAGGAACAGGATACTTGTTATGTTACTGATAGAAAAACACATTCATCAAAGATGATCCAAAGATTTTTCTAAATGTGGAATCCCTTGAATGCAGCAAAAATGTGCAAATCTTAAGTTGAGGAAATCACATCCCAATACTAAGATTGTCTCAAGAGATGCATACTTGCTGTCTTAAATCAAGTGACAAATCACTCTTTTTCCTGTTTCTGGCTGCCTAACATCCACTTGCTTATTATCAGAACTGTAGGGTTTTCCTTGACCAAAATGTTCAGAAGGTAACAGACCTCTTCAGGTGCAGATTGTTATCTAAAAATGTGCCTCTCCAGTGTTTTACTATATTCAAGAAGCTCTGCATGTTTCTTAGTAAAGTATGGTAGAAATGACTGCATTTATCCATACATCTCATAACCTACTGAAACCAGGAAGGAAGAAACTTGATACTATATTTAACATCTTCCCATTTACAGGACTGTATTGACGTGTCACTCAGTTTAAGAAAACTCCTTTTAGCCACTGGTACTTTGAAACTCAAAGTCTAACTGAAATGTGAATAGACAGTTCATCCAATCCTTTGCATGTTGCATTTCACAGATGTACAAAAAGATAATGTTTATTGTGATGGTAATTAAATTATTAAGATTCAGCTATAACCAACCAAAGCCAATCAGATCCAAGCATATGAGCATCTAATTAGTTAGAACTATTCATATTTGTGATTCTTATAATAAAATATATAAATGTCAGCATCTATAATACCAGATTAACATTTATTTTCCCTATTGTTTTCCTTAATGATGAAGGTACAAAGCTGATCCTCTGTGTCACACAGATCTATATGGAGGTATTACAGGGCCCAAACCTAAATCACTTAAACTGTATCTGTCATTCAGGGAAATGAGACTGAACTTTGAAAGTGAAGTTGATTTATGTAATTAGCAATCATATTACATACACAATGATCCAAAGCGTTAGTATTGGCTAATAATGGAGGAGTTCACTGACTTCACCATATATCAGTAATATTTATATACAGCATTCAATTCACTTAATGTTTAAATGTTGGTACAGTGGCCTACAATATCCATTCCACACAGCTACGGAGGATCATACAGAAAATATTTCAAAATTTATTTCAGCACATTATGGAGGCAAGCATCTGTTCCATGTTTATCATCAGCTATTTTCAGGCAAAGCAATTAAAACACTCTAGAGTGTTTGTACTGAAGTACTGTAAAAGTGACAAATGTCCTTCTCTGATACTAAGACAGCAACTGAAAAATACCAAAGACCTATTAAGAGAATTAAGTTGATGCACACCTGCAGAAAATATTTATCTATTGCACTAAAAAACTACCTGTCCTCTCTGTCTGTACAACAACTCCATGTTGGAGAATGGACGAACACAGGACAGGAGAAATTAAAACTGGAGAATAAAGAGTAATGTGAGCAAGGAGTCCTGGAAACACAGTCCAAGCAAAGCTGAAAGCTTAATGATACTTACAGGGCATCACCAGGAGAAGCAACTTTGCACTGACAGTTGCATAAATAAATGCCTTGCACACTATCTGCCTGCATAGGCGCGCATCTGAAATATTTCCAATTCACTTTGAAAATGAATTAGAAATACAAAAATACAGATTGTTGTCATTTATTGCAACAATGACACAGTATTACTTCTTTTTTTTTTTTTTTGTAAACTATTTTAAACAAGTTCACTCTAACTTTAAAAGTTCTCTTCAGATTTTTTTTGATATATTACCCATGTATTAAAAGATTGGTAAATGGTGTAATAAATAACATATGAATGTCAACAAAGAGCTACATCTTTTAAAAAACATTCAGTAACTTACTGAGTAACTGATTCCTTCTTTATGGGGCACTGAAGTCTCTGAAATTGCCACTCGAGTCAACTGAGTGTTAGTAACTTCATTAGGCAATTCAGGTTCTGGACTTGGAGGTGGTGACAGAACATTTTCTTTTCTACTGTAAATTTCAGACACATTATCACAGATTTTTGTGATGAGTTTATCTGCAAGAGCTGAAAACATCAACAAATGATGAAATTTATTAAGACTAATAAAGAAAAGTCACAATGATTCTCTACAAGCTTTTAGTGCAGAATTAACCACAACTTATAATGACAGTCATTTGTGAAAGATTGTTTTCTGAAGTTATACCAAAACTCAGATTGGAATGAATAAAATAATGCACTCTCAGAACTAACAGATTTTAAATACCTCTAGTTCTTTTTGGAAACAACAGACAAAAACACCAAAACTCATTTGAAGCATAAATTATAGCTCAACAGTCTAGAGAGAAAAACAGGACGATGGAAAGAATGCGTTTATGTGTAAAAAGTAAGAAGATAAATTGAGTTACAGATCCTATTTCTTCTCACAAAAAAAAAATAATTAAAAAAAAAAATATGTATATTCAGTGACTGGGAATACTTGAATGCTGGAGCCAGAGCTAGAGCTGTAATTTTAATCCTAGCTGGCACCAGAACATTAGTGCAGATTCTGTTCTCATCATTAATGCCTTAAACGCATTAACTTAAGCCCATCCACAGGCTCAGTGCAGCAAAATGAGTTTATGTTCAGGATAAATATAGTTTATAGGGTTAGACTGCAGTTAGTTGAAACCAATGTTTGTTTCTTCCACTGGTTATTATAGGTTTCCTGTCTTTTATCTCTGATTCCAGATATGGCTACAGGATTTTTCAAGTCTGTTTGAAATAAATGAGGTCTGCAGAATAAAGCAGACCTCATCCCCTTGTTGATATTCCTTCACCACCCTAGAATCAGGATGAAAGCCTAGAATTTCAGAAGAAAATGAGTGTATATAAAAGATGGTGAAGGGACTGCCAGAGAGACAAATCACTAAAAACAGCCAAATATGAAAGAGAAAGAGACAGAAATGGTGTGCCAAGATGGAAGGAAATTCTTCTGGGGCTGAATCTGTGGCTCTACACACTGTGTAAGGGAAAGCTGATGGAAGCTCTCAGCAAAGAAGAGTGCCCCAAAGAAGGCCTCAACTCTGAAAATCATTGTTTGTTGGTTTTCATTGTTTCTACAAGAGGTAGAAGTTTGCCAAAAGTTTCATTTGGCCAAAGAGCAAGGGACACTGAAAACCAGTCTGTGTCCAAAAGACAGGCATCAGCTGCCATTCACTGAGCATGTATGGACTGCCTTGCCTTGTATGGGGAAGGCCAAACACCTTTATTTGCTTATTTCATATATTCTCCTACATAGTTTCTTTTACCTGAGAGTGTCTTGAAGTCCTCTATCGGGTAAAAATGGTCTTCATCAGGGTCTGTTGCAATGAGATGCATTTCTTTCAGGAAATCACCATAATGAGGATCAGTTTCTTGAGCAATTCCAATGACAAATATCTCGATATTTGCAGCATGTGCTTCCCTTACTACCATATCCAGGTGCACTTCGTCACGAGCGTCTGCTTGTCCATCTGTTACTACCACAGCAACTTTTCTTACTGCTGGGCGTGCTGCCTGAAATAGGTTAATGGCTTTTTTAATGGCAGAAGCTGTGTACGTGCCTTCTCCTAAGTAGAGCATTTTATCAACAGCAGATTTCAGAGATTCTTTGGTTGTGTATTTCTCTAGAGAAGATACCAACTCCACTTTATGGCTGAAGTTGATAACGCCAATGCGAGTTTTAGCGTGGTTGGCCGAAACCTCATCAATGACTGTTTTCATAAATGTTTTGGTACTGATGAAGTTGTCTGGTCCGACACTTTCTGAACTGTCAATGACAAATATAAGTTCCAGCGGTGTAATTCTACATCTGGTACCGCAACCTGGAAGAATAACCATTGCAGATATTTTGTGAGAAACCACCTTCCAATTATATAAATGAATTGAACTCAAATAACAGATACACAGTCACACAAACATGAAGAGGAAATATCCATTCAAGCAACATAAATTCAGTTTTAGAGCTATTTTTTTTTCCCATACTGGAATGCTTACCACATATCTCATTGATAAGTCTTATGACCTCTTCTCTCTGAAAAAAAATAAAAAAAGTATTAATTAATCCACTGTGTGTTTTAAGAATGCTGAAATATATCAACTTATTTACCTACACCAATGCAGGGAATACAATGCCCCTATATCAGCCTTGTTTAATATCACAAAATCTATAAACACATTCCAAAATAAATTTCTAACATTTAAATTAATTCGTATACATACTTACTGAAAGACCAGGTTCACCTTTTGTTCCCCAAGTTCCCTGAAAATGTGTAGAGTGACATAGTTAACAAAATCCAAGTTCATCACGTTTCTGCTGTGTAAAATGAAGTAATGTACAATGTCTTTTACCTTTGGTCCTGGAGGTCCTGGGTCTCCCATCTCTCCTTTGGCACCTTTTCTTCCTGGATCACCTTTATCTCCGTAGTCTCCCTAATTTAAAGCAGTCACATTAAACCCAATCCACAACTCCAGTTTTGTTGGTAGTAAGAGCTGGAATTATAGCTCAACTAGTTTTTAAGATTAAATTTCTGAGCTTTATCCTGTGGCTGATTTACTTAAGCAGAGCATCTTAGAGAAAGAAAGTACTGTCAACATAAATACCTTCAAGAAATTTTTATCAGTAAAGAGTGAAGATAAATTTATGCTGATTAGGAGATTATATAATTTTTAGTCTTCTTTGATTTTCTTGAATTCTAAACTGGCCCATGTTAATGCAAATCTATGGAGAGACTTAACTGCTTGAAATATGCCAACATATTGAAACTCACATCAGCTTTGTGCAGAACCCACATGAAATACTGTCAGCTTGCCCAGAAAAGAGATACCTGGATTGTTACATACATTGGAAAATACATAGTTACGTCATTAGAAACAAATTCTTCATTTTTTTTAATTTGAGTGAGTAGATCTGGAGAAGAGAAGATCTGAACCCCTAGAAGAGAAGGTGTTCAACCTTACTGCATTTCAGCTACTGCAGGTATGAAATATACTACGGAAAGGATTCTGGATCTTAATTAGAAATGTCTTCAAAAAGATGATTGTGCACGACAGTTTTTTTCTTCTCTCTGGGATTCTGGGATCACCTAATATTTCACGTGAATTTTTAAGAGTTCTGTGAAGGGAATGCCCATTTCAATATTATTACTCATTGCTACCCAGACAGTGGAATCATTTAGATACCATTCCCTGTTACAGCATTTGCCAGTATGATTGCTATCAATTCTGTGGAACCCTTTCGACTCCCTGAGTCTTATTCTGATCTTATTCAAACCTGAAAATTGCATAGCTCCTCCACAGTGTTAAGGAAATCTCCACTACATAAGCTCTTGGAAAACACTTGCTGGTCTATTTTCACAAAATCATAATATCCAGCTAATAGTACGACTTTGCATTATTTGTCTGTGAATTCTATCTAACCTCATCAAAATTAATGTCAGCACAAGAAACAGCAAACACAATCTACTGATGCTAGATGATGGTGATGCTAGTATTCTCATGCACACAAATATGCTAAAAACAGATCTGTTTGGTTTTTGATACATTCAGTAGAAAATAGGTAAATAAAATTCCTACTGAACTAAACTTTTTTTTTTTTTTGTGACAAGTCTGCTTTTTTAATAACAAACAGCAAAATTGAGAATTTGGAGAGATTTTTGGTCAAAGCCTGGCAAATAAACAGACATTTTGATTTTATAATAGCTAAAAACTATATGAATATAGCAGAATGCATGTTTTTACTAGCATTTCCTCCTGCTAACAGGTAAGAGCTCGTTCCATATATTACTTCAGAGCCTGATCTTAGTGATGGTTAAGATTTTCACAGATTCCAAAGCTGACAATAAGTGGTAAGCACTTGTCTTGCCAACTGTATGAGGCAGTTTTTTGCTTTTTTGCTTTGCTTTTTATCTATCTTCAAAGATCTGTCACATTAAATCAACAATAAAGAAAATAAAACCTTTCTTTCCTTATTGCAAGGATTTACCTTTGGTCCAGGAATGCCAACTCCTATTGACCCCTTTGGCCCATGTAAACCTGGATTTCCTTTTTCTCCCTAAACAGAATATGAAAAGTAAGTTTAATGAAAAATAAAGGTAGAATCCATGCTGTGTCTATTCAGTTTATGACATCCTGCATCATAGAGAAAGCCAGATACTTGTATTAGGAAATGAAACGTGTAATTTTCAAGATAGAATTGCTCTGAATCTGAAGAAATGAAGAAATAAACAATTGAGTATGAATCATAATGTACTTTGATAAAGTATACAATGAAGACTACGTTCCTGTTTAATTAAACACAATACTGACGTTACGCTGACATGAATGAAAGACAAAAGTAGTGAGTTTCACACAATGAGGTTCAGTTATTCATCCAGCCTACAAGTGGAAATACAAAGTCCAACTCAAAGGTTCTCTAGGCACACACACCTAGGATCTCTTCAGGGTTGACTTAATTTTTCTGATTTTAAGTAAATGAGGTCTCTGTTTTTCACAATGTGGAGAGAACACATTTCTGCCGAGACTTCAGATGACAGGATCAATCTGGCTACAAAGTGCAAATTTGTTTTGAAAGGATTGTTCTGTATGTCCTGCTGTGCAAACAGAGACTTGAAAAGCATGTTCACAGTAGCAGGATGAGGACATAGCACAGTGAAAACCACAGTTGTCATAAAATAAGTACAGAAAATCCTTCACAGCATGTGGGTTCCAGAAACTGTTCTGTTCTCTTTAACAGGGTAAATAATCTTTTCAGATAAAATACTGTAAAGCACAGTTAGAGACATTTAGATTCCCTGATACAAAAAAACTTCCCCAAAATTCACATTTGTAGCATAACAGCAATGCCCTGTGCGAATATTGGAAACAGCTCTAGGGAATATCAGTGAGATCACCTACTGCCTGCAGTAAACCTAGCTTAGGCGTATCTGCATAGACCAGTACAAGTCTAGTGAGTTACATTTTTCAGTCAAGAGCTCAGACTGTCTCACACATCCCATACTCCTACTAGGATAGGTAAAGTGGCTGAAGTGGCTATTCTGCTCTTAGTGGACAGAGAAACACACAATTTTCAAGACTCCAGTCTTCACAGTAGGTATACTAGTGCTTTTGGTGAACTGGTGGACTGATCATTTCTGCTGGAGTGGATAAGAGAATTACAGATTTCTTCAGGTGGAGAAGCAGCTACGTGATGCACAACCAAGTCAGACAATTTCTCTTCCCACGATTGGCTCTCTTGAGCTGAAAGTTCACATGGAGTCAGACAGTGAGATGCACCTGCCTATAAGAGGCAGTATACTAGGAGTCAAAGTCAGTGGGGGATTTTTTTTTCCTGTTCAAATCCCAGATTTCACCGATAACCTGCTGAAATGGGAGCCTCTGACTGCACACAGGTGAGCTGTGGTTTTGCCCTGTACTAGGCAAAGGCACCTACCACACTCCAACACATCATAACCAAAGGCACTGCCTGAAGAGCCCTGCCCTGTGGGAGCCTCTCAGATCCACTAGACCCAAAACAGGGAGCTCAAAACCTCTGCTCCTTGTCAGGACTACATACCACTGCCCTGCTAATCATTAACTTCTTGCCTCTGGAAAAAGAACAACTCTCCCATTTCCGCACTCCACAATTTCTTACAGCTAGAAAGAACAGGCACTGTTAAGTAGACGATGGATACTGGAAAAGAAACTGCAGCAATGCACTAGGAAAAACCTAATGCACTAGGAAAAAGAATGGGTTTTCCTACAAATAGGAAATATTAATAAGGCAGTGGAATGCACAAAGGAGTTTATTGGCATTCTTAAATGCTCAGTGAGTATTTAATTAACTTAAAGCTACTTTTCAGCAGGATTGTACTTCATAGGTCTTCTATATAGGTTATTAATGCAAATGACTTTTAAACACAGTGAAGTAGCATGCCAGCCTGTTTCAGTGCTTGCTGTCCAGCACTGGGAAAGACTGCTCTTCCTAATCAGTCATGATAGAACTGCCTGATTAACTTCTTTACAGATTTGCAGAGCACAAACACATGAACCAGAATTAGAATCTGCTTTGTATTCCAGTAGTCTGTCATTAACAATAAATGTCAGATCTAAGAAAACTATAGATTTATTGAAGTCCTTTGACAGTGTGCCAGTTAGGATGGCATTTAGGTAACAAAATCGAAAGAGACCTACTTTTCTAAAAAAATCAAGCCTATGCAGCTGACACTAATCACAGACACACGTGAATTTTATCCTTCAAATGTCAACTGCAGAACCAAATCCTGCTTCCTCTACTTGTGTAATCGATCATCAACAGAAAGGATTTGTAATAGATACCATAAGAAAATATTTAGTAACTAAGCAAGAAGGATATTGCATACATTTTTAATTATTTGTCATTATAACAGCTCAGCGTATGTACAAAGTTAAACTCAAAATTGACCACCAGTCTTATCTTAAAAATTAAACCAGTATTCATCTAAAGAAGGACCTATAAATCCTTGACCATAATTTCCTGGTAGATCAGTGATCAATAAGTAGACTTTTATGTTAAAATGCCATTCTCAGAGTGCAGACCTGAGAATGTCTAGACTGTGGTTTTGAAAGGAAACCAAGCACACACACAAAAAAGACCAATGGATGCTGATATTAACGTAATTAACGCAACCCATCTCATTTTTGACATTCCATTCTGACCATTTGCCCACAGAACTCCATGTATATCTAAGAATATACTTGGAGTAATATTGATAGTTCAAAACCGAGGAGTATAGTAGCTTTAAGCTGATGAAGAACGGCCATAAAACATGAAGCTTGTGATGTTTGTGAGGAGACAAAAAGACAGATGTAAGAGATTGACGTTCAACAAGCGAGGAATGGAGGAAACGGGTACACATAGATATTATTCATAGCAGTGCCATTACTACCATCCAAACCTCTGTGTGTCTGCATATCTGCGTATCTACCTATTACCCACTAAAAATATTTTGACTTTTATTTTTCTTCAGGAAGAGAAAAAATACACAGAGATCAATATACTTATTCCTGCATTAAATTGAGTCATGAAATGTTTCTGCTCAGAATGGGAATTGTGCTTTTATAACTAACCTCCATAACTATGAAATTAACAAAGAAATATTCCAAGTATTAGATTCTGGGAACACAACAAAAAGGTCTATTAAAGCCAGGCAGAAATAGTTTTCCTATACTATAAAGCACATAGAGATGGTAGAAACATTTTTGCTTTCTTCAAGAATAGTGCAAATAGGCTTCTGAAATTCATCAAAGGATGGAAGAAGTTACCTACAGTATTGCATTACCTATTATCTTTATGGACACTGATAATCACTAAAATAGAAGAAAGGTGCAGATAGATCAAAACCAAAGGTTCAGACAGTCAGATGACTCTAACCACAGACAGATCTTTGTCTAGGAGTTTTGAAATGTGATAAATCAGAATCTGTTGAAGAGAGTTATATAATAATGAGAAAAGATGAGAAAAGGGAGAATGTGGTAGAGTATGTTCTTATAAAACACTTCACAGTGAAGAAGGAAAGTGCTTTCTGCTTGTATAAAAAGGAAATTATTAACATTATTATGGAAGACACTGAAGCTGGAGTTGGAGTAAGTACTGATGAAAACAAAGTCAGGAATAATGCTTTCCTGGTTAAGCTTGCATGAAATAATTCCACCCTGAATAAAAGAAAGATTATCCTATGAAACATTTGATAGCAACATAAACTTATTTATTCGTTTATTTATTTAAGCCCATCACTATTTTGCAATGAAAACCAATTTTGCCAACAAATTCCATGGTGGCTTTAGTTTCTACAGCCCACTGCGGTATGCGGTATAGTGAGACATCTGTCTTAACCCAACTGAAATAGTGCACTTATCAAATTACTGGTGATTTAAAACTTTACAGTTGCAGAGTGGAGCTCAACTCCTGATCCAGGGAAATATTCAATCACATGCTCAACTTTAAACATTGATTTCAGAGAAATAGGAGAAATAATTTTTTTTCTCCACTAGAGCCTTCAGTTTTAGCAATTTATTTCCACACATTTATGACGAGGCATTTCATTAAATTTCAACAGTGAGAATGTGTTACCATGTTTGCCTTTCTCCTTGTAAGGAGGCATGTTTTGATATGACTGGAACTAGGCTAGTAATGACATGAGTAAGAATACGTTGGACATTGGCTAATTTCTTTTATGTTCTTATAGTTACGTGTTGTTTGTATTGTTCTGGATAAATACAGTAGCTCTCTGTTACTGTCTTTACATAAGGGCCTCAAAAGCAAACTCCAGATGTTTTCTTTGGACAGTGCTCTAAGTCTAACAAGTCCATGAAACGTGACAAGGATGAGAGAGGTTAAATATATCTGTAGCAATAAGAATAATAGGAGAGCAGTCAGGTGTCAATGGTAATGAAAGTCAACAGCTAAAGTAAATTTTACATACTTCATGAATGATTCACAAAGAATATTTGCAAGAGTTCAGTGACTCAGTGGCAAACAGAATATACAGAGGAAGAAAAAATAAAAAGATGAATCTTCCTAGCAAAGAGATATAAAAAGAAATTGGAAACATACTATATTAAACTGGATTACCTTATCTCCCTGTATGCTGATGCCAGGAGGACCAGGGGGACCAGGCAATCCGTTCTGTCCCATAACACCCTATTAGAGTCAGTGTGACAAAAAAATGAAGGATTAGGAGATAAATTCTATTTCTGGTAACACTAAAGAAGTCATTTCAAATTCACTGCAAGGAGAAGCAAAACCTTTTTGAAGACTCTAGTTCCGATCCTTCTGTGGCTTATGGTTTCACACGGTAGGCTTCAGTAGTTATACTTAGCAAACTCTCAGGAAAGGAACAATTAAGCAGAAAACAATTAAAGAATAAAATAAGCCCATGAAACAGTGTGATGATTTTCCCAATTCCTTTCCTGGGTAGAAACCAACAGAAGCCAACTTTATCCAACTGCTCTGTGCAATCACTACACACAGAGGCAAGCAGTAGAGCAATAAAGCTAGACACGCTAGCTCTTACACACTGCACAGGCATGTATTTCAAGCCACGGTCTCTGGGAGCATCACTCATTCAGAAAATCTTAAGTGGCAACAGCCAAAGCAACACCTGCTGATTTTTGTGGCTACAGTAGAAAAGAGGTAAAGTCTTCCTATGGATCCGTAGACAAAATTTTGCCACACACTTTCACAGAATCTCTTGTAAAAAGTACTGTTAAGCTACATTTATATCAGCAGGGGTTCGCACTAAACATTGTTCTAAAAATCTTATCTCAAGAACTGGATGATACAAGATGGTCCTCAGCCCTGAAAACAAAATATCATTTTCACATAGAGAATATATTTTTCATTCTTGAAGACTTTGGGCTGAGCACTATATATTGTCACACATTTTGTTGGCTTTGAGACCCAGCCTAAACCGATTCTTACCAAAATTACTCTTTCTAAACTGACTGGCTATATGATTTACTGAGGTACTGAAATTGCTATAGCTTTCACAAAGCAATGCAAAGTCATATGTACATCCTGAGAAAACTTTCATGCCCTATTGTTCACTGCATTTCTGTATCAGGTTGGTAATAACAGTTCTCTATTCAGACACCTATTTATTCAAAACAGCGGTGGAGACTTCTGTTATTGTATCTGCTAAAGAAATTACAGAAAAAGTTACAAAGACATACACATTTTAACTTAAGTAAAAGTGGAGAAATATATATAGAAATCCTATGTTTTCTCCATTGACTTTGTAAAAATAATGAATGGATACATTCATGATACAGAAATACAGGCATGAACTGAGTTATCATTCTTAGCAGCAGTTTTTTCCTTTTTGAATTATCATTCATTTTAGTGGAGGAAATTAAAATTTGTCCAGATGTTGCACGCTGGCTCCTTATGGAATTAATGTTTTGGCTTTATGTTTCTTTCCTAATGGTTTTACAAATAAAGCCAACAGGATTCAATTTCAGTGAGCAAAAAAAGCAAACATAAAATCCAAATTTAATAATTTTCACCCACAGAAGAATATCTTGGAAATATAATAGATGCAAAAGGAATAAATGTGTCATTTAACTCAATTATTAGCTCTGTGTAATCTAAAGCTGTGATCTCATAAATTTTAGCTGCAAATGCAGTTTTCAGGCAGTACTCCTTCCTAATCCAGGCAGCAGAAATGTATAGTCAATCCCCATGCTTTAAAGCTTGATTTCTCCTGCAGTTGCACCAACATGAATCAGTAACTGAAGGAGCTATTCTGGTGTCAGAGAGATTAGAGAGTCTGGCAGCCAGCATTACAACAAAGTAGGAAACTTCAAGATGATGTAGTACCAACCTTAGGACCAACCACTCCGATTCCCATTGGTCCTGGGGGCCCACGATAGCCTTTCAGTCCACGTTCTCCCTGAAAGCAGTCATAATAACATCAGTAATTTACCACTTACTAACTAGCACACTTTTCATACACTCAAAAAGCAGTTGGTCAAACAACCAAGCAAAAATAAAAGAAAGCAAATAAAAGCTACAGACATTTGCTTTATAGGTTAAAAAAAAGAGGTCAATTTATAGTTTTTTTTCTCAGTTAACAGTGAGGAAAAAAACAGAAGGGCTCATCCCCTAATAAGCTAGCAAACCCAGGGTGGCAGCTGGCAGGAATGTGGGAATGTGAGCAGTTCTGAGTACCATGCTACCCTGCCTGCTGCAGACAAGCCTAGTGGAAGGAGATGGGGGCCAGAGCACGTTGCTGGTAGGGGCAAGGCACAGGGACATGAAAGGCAGCTTTTTCCCCACAGTCTGTAACAGTACAAATGAATAGGCACACATCCAGCACATTTTCATTAGAAAACTCTCATCTCTTCAAAAAGAAAAACAAAGAACTGTTAAGTTACAGGCACAGAAAATTCTGAACCAAGTTTAGCAAATGCTCTTAAATTATGTCTGTGCAGACAAATGCAAAAGGTAGAAATGTTCTGATAAGCTATCACTCATCCAATATACTAACAACAGTGTCATGATGGTATCCCTTACAAAACAGATGGTATCTCTTGACAAAATAAAACTTTTCTTTGATGAAAGTCTTCATTCTATTTGCTTTCACACTAGGAAAAGCACTTCAAATTGATATGCCTGCAGAGGGAGCAGTCCAACCAGAAGAAAATTGCATGTACACATCACACTGATCACACATGACTTCATTTGTGATAGGTGAAAAAAAAGAACATACTGTACTGATTAAAAAGGAAGGAAACGAGTACAGAACCTCTTACTGACTTCTTTTACTTTCCATGAACATTTGTGCAGTTTTCAGATCTTAATGACTGCTTTTTAGGTTAAATGCTTGAAATTCAATCTCCAGTGACAGATCACACTAATCTGTGTGTTTTGTATATGGCTATGAAACTCCCATGCTAAGTTCTGGGATGTTAATTCATTAAGGCCTTAGTTCCATTTTGATGGATTTGGAGAGGTGGTAAACCTGAATCCAAAGACCAAAGCTTAGATTAAGCTTATAATGCTTTCCTTCTTGATGTAATATTTGGCTACTGGATTGATTTTCATTTCCTCTTTCTTCCAAAGCACTGGACAATGGCCAGCTTGAGCCAACATGTAGGCATGGTACACGGCACTCTTGGCTTCAAATTGATGTGCCAAGCTCGGAGTCTGAGGGTTATGCTGTTTGCCAGATTAGTCAGGAGAGAATTTCTCCCTCAGATTTGATCAAAGAGGAGGGTTGGTTTGTTGGTTTGGTCTGGTTTGGAAAAGGGAGCTGAAGAGAGGGCTATTTCTTTTTCTTCTTTTTTTTTTGGATGAGAGGTGTTCCTCTGATGATCTGACACTTTTCTATCACACCTTCCCTGCTAATTCAAGAACAAAGACACTGGCAGTGTCCTTGACATTTTATTTTGTTTTGTGGCAGTTTATATCTGTAAACATTTAAAGATTACAAACCTAAGCACTTAAAGATTGTAGCACTTAAATCTGACACACAATGCTGGCAGGTGTCCCTCTACGGTGAGAGGAATGGTAGATATTCCTGATCTTTTAAAACCTCTGTGGTTTATCAGTTCCTCCTGCAAAGCATTTCCCCACCATTTGCTTGAGATTGTTGTATTACTAGTGAATAGTATGAGATTAGGCAAATGTAGCCACTTTCCTTTTAAATTTCATCTGTTATCAAGAGACAAATTATTTCTCAGTGTCCTTGTATGAAACAATCCTAAGCAGATGAATCAAAGAGGAGCCAAAGTTTTCCCTTCTCAAGCTTCTGAAACCTGCCAGATGTGTGTCAAAGCTATGAGGAAGTTATACTGACAATGCTTTTCAATACACACTGTTTTTAAGAGATTCTGGGCTGCTGTGGACAAGGAAGCAATCAGGAAGCCATTGTGAAGGGAAGGTACTGAGCAAATAAACAATTTGCAGTGTTCTATTTTGCTGCAGTTGCAACCTACTCTTAAATCAGCCCTGACAAAAAAAAAAGCACAAGTATGTCTTGAAGTTTTGTCTCTCTTTCTCCCACGAATAATACATTCTTACATGGGGTCAATGCAGGTGAAGGATCAAATTTTAGCCTCACATGCTTAGTTAATACCAGATGCCTCACTGAAAAGCTCTTTTGTAGAGCTTTATAGAAATTATCAGTTTTTGTATTTCTTGGCTTAAAGAAAAAGACTTTCATTTTGCTTTATAAGATGCAAAAGGGAGCAGGTTTTTTTTCCTAAGGTGTGACACTAAGCTGTTCTCCAGGGAAAAAGGATTAGTGCTGCTCTTTGATGAGCTCTAAGTTATTTCCTGCACTGTGCTTGTAGACAAGCTAAGTCACCATTGGTGAACTAGAAAAACACCACAGAAACAAGAAATAAAAAGCTGAGTCAAGACTACTAAGACACTAAGCCATGTGGTGCAGTTAATACAGCAGAAGGAAGGGACGCCACTGAAAGGGACCTGGACAAACTAGAGTTGTGGATGCATGTGAACATATTGAGATTCAGTAAGATCATGTGCCAGGTGTTGCAAGATGTTGAGTTGGGATAACCCCTGGTACATGCACAGACTGGGAGAAGAACTTACTGAGAGCAGCTCTGATGAGAAAAGACCTGGGGGTCCTGGGGGATTAAAAGCTTGACACGACCTAACAGTGCACTTGTAGCCCAGAAAGCCAGCAGTGTCCTGGGCTGCATCAAAAGAGGGAAGGCCAGCAGGGTGAGGGAGGCGACTATTCCCCTCTACTTTGTCCTTATGAGGATTCACCTGGAGTACTATGGCCAGGCCTGGGCCCCCCAGCACAAGAAAAACATGGAGCTTTCAGAGAGGGTCCAAAGAAGGACCATAAAGATGATTAGAGGGATGGAGCACCTCTCTTATGAAGAAAGGCTGAAGGATCTGGCCTTGTTCAGCCTGGAGAGGAGAAGGCACCAGGAAGATCTCATTATGGCCTTCCAGTACTTAAAGAGAGCTTATAAACAGGAGGCAGACTGTCTTTTTACGCAGTCTGATGGTGATAGGACAAGGGGAAATAGTTTTAAACTAAAAGAGGGGAGATTTAGATCAGATGTTAGCAAGCAACTTTTTACTCAGAAGGTGTGGAACAGGTAGCCCAGAGAAGCTGTGGGTGCCCCATCCCTGGAGGTTTTCAAGGTCCAGTTGGATGGGGCCCTGGGCAGCCTGATCTGTGGGTGGCAATCCTGCCCATGGCAGAGGGATTGAAAACATCTTTAAGATGATCTTTAAGGTCTCTTAAGAGATCTTAAAGGTCTCTTCCAACTCAAGCCTCTCCATGCTTCTGTGACAATAAAAGTACAGGACTCCAAAACTTATTTCTTATCATTCGATCAAGAAAGCTCATTAAATGACCTAATGCTCACATGAAAAATAAATTTTGGCCTCCAAGGATATGTATCTCATTTACTCTAAGACTTGTATTGGTACTGAAACACACAATAGACACTGCAGCAATCTCAGTGAGAGCTGGTTGATATAAGCATTTAAGAAAAAAGACCTTGCATCTCTACCTTTCTCATTTTAGTTCAAGTAGAGTTGCCTTAAGCCACAGAAGTTATTAACATTGCAAATGGATCCATCCCAAATGTTCATGCTGTGCTAAGGATTTCAATAATCCTCCTGTTATGTGATTACTGAGAATGAAACTTTCTTTATGCTTGGTGCTTGGCTCTTACTCTGGAATGTCTGTAACCCATCTCCTATTCAGCAATATTGCTTATGTGTATATTTTTTATTTTACTCTGACATTATCTGCCTCTGTTTAAATGCTATAGAAAATAGTGTGCTGCCCAGATTGAATGCATTCCACATGTTCCAATTTTGATTTCATATAAATTTGACCTCTAATCTATAAAATTTCTATCTTGCAGTGTGCACATATGTGAGCCTTTTCTGAGAGCAGGGAGAACAGAATGTGATTCAGCTGAATGGAACATTCATATGTAATGAGACTCAAAGGAATTTCAAATTGACTAGTGAGTAAATTTATGAATCTCTGTTATGAAATAAATGCTCTTTTCACATTCTGAGATTGTTGGCATTATTATTATTATTGCTTTTTTTTTAACATGTAAAGGATGAGAGATAGCCAGTGACCATCCATTTTTTGAACTAATTTCTAGAGGGATTTTCACTGTTCAAGTGAATTATTTTCCCTTGTGAAACATTTGCTTCCAGGAAATTCTGTAGAGATTAAAGATTTCAAACTTTGTGTGAACAAACAGAAAGACAAAATAGAAGGGTGAACAACTGTCTGTGTTATTTGTTTCTTTTTTTCACTGTACTTTCCAGTGATGTAAAAATTCTCCTTTGGGAAATTCCACTGCAATTATTGTGGTGGCTTTGTTTCACTTAAAAGCAAGAAAACAAACAAACAAAAACCCTCTTAATTGCATTTTGGATTTGTTTAACTCAAATTTCCTTACATTATATCCCTATATTCCCAATTAAATTTTGTTTTAAATTTCTTGTTTTTTTAATATTTCAGCCATGGTCATCTTAGTGAGAGATCACCTTGTCTGATTACCTGACATGACCTTCCAATTTATTTTTCTGGAGGAAATACTACTCTCCAGAATTATATATTTAGGAATCAAGGGGGAATTCTAGAATGTAAAGTTGTCCCCAGACATTTTGCAGCCTTAAGTTATATTTTTATGTAATAACTGCTTTAATATTCTTCTACAATATTTTAGGGTTTAAATGAAATGTTCTTCTGCAGTAACAAGAAAAAATATCTTGTAAGACTGTATTATATCAAGTGTAAAACCTTTATTTGGAAAAAAAACCCTCACATAAAATACCTAATTAGTTTAGTGCTATCTGTTTTCTGCAAGTCTATACTGACTGCCACAAATGAGATTATGTTCTTTAGTCTTGGCATGTGCCAGATTCTGTATTACTCCGGGTGGAATGTCGTGTATCACTAAGTGGGAACTGTGAACAGAAGCACAAATCCCGGTGTTCTGGTTCCCTATCATCAGACTGTTGGTAATCCTACGGATGAATGGCCTTCAGTTTTTCCTTCATTGTGGATTTGTTTTTAAGACATTATTGTTATTGTTTATTTTTGATGGGAACTTTCATGCTCTGAGAACTGAAGTTAAAAGTTCTGTTGGGAAAAAAAAAGGTAATGTTTATTTTGCTTTCTACTACAACATGCTCTGTGTTTCCTATTTCACACGTAATAAGGAAATCATTAACTAAACCACTCTGCAGGACACCATAAAGCAATTTATGATATGATTTTAGCCATAATTTTCTTTTTTCTGAGTTTTTAATAACATAGTAGCTACAACGTGACTTTTTAGACCAATTATACACTGCGTGGACCTTTGTAACACTTCAGCTATTTTGTGTTTTATGATAAAGCAAACAAATAAACTCAGAACTGTTTCAGTGTTGAATTTCTAATCTCTTTATTGTTTCCTTTTGTTTGTGTGTTCATTTTTTGCTATCAAGTTTTTCCTATAAAGTGTTATTCATTTTCAGGTAAGATCTATAGTCTTCTCTGGGGAATCAGCAACTAGGAATTTTAAAAATATATCACTGTTTCACCTGTAATCACTACTTCCCCTTATTTGTTCAGAGTCCTGCCCTTCTCTTTGTCAGAAGAAAGTGAGTAATTACTAAGCAATATTCTGCCTGCATTGGATTCTGACTTCCATATGGAAATTCCAGCACATAAAAACACTCTGATTTTTGGGTGTATGGAAAATCTGAAGATATAAAGCAAGACCTGGTTTGCATCTAACAAGGTGGAAAAATCTTTTGCAAGCTTTTCTTTGAATCGAAAAGCAAAGCGGGAGATGAAATTCCAGCATTTTGTCATCGTAATGCACTTTGTAGAGAGATATTTGTCTATACTGTCTACTAGCCAGATAGATGCACGTACAACCATTGACGTACCTTTGGTCCAGGATCTCCCATACTGCTTGGGCCTTCTGGTCCTGGAGGGCCTGCTGGTCCTGGAGGTCCCTGGTACAAGAAGAATATAGCATGTCATTAGTTGTCCTCAAGAAATAGTAGATATGTTCTGCAATAAAGAAGAGAATTTCAGCAGTATTATTAATCTGTTTCTGTTGTTCTCAAATTTGCAGTATTTCTACTGTGTACTGAGCAACAGCTCAATCCTTCACAACCCCTTCAGCTGCACGTCATACTGCTGAAGGCATCCCTACCCTCCCTTTCAGCATTCAGAGGACAGATATCTTTGCTCTATCAAAGCTACTTAGACTTAGCTACATAACTGTCGTTCATATCTGCTTGTAGTTTACAGAACTGATCTTTACAGGTCATGAGGTAGGCAAAGTTGGCCTAAGAATGGGAAAGACATAAGCTACCACCTGCATATATTTCAAAGATATGTATTCATATGTCAGGGAGAAACAGACAGTTTTTCTCACAGCATTTGGAGATAGGAGTCCTGTAATAACCATAATTTAAGGAATACTACTGCTGAGTAAAACTCTTCTTATTGTTTGGTCTCTAATAGAAATGCAGCATGCACACATACATAAACCTAAGTTTTCCATCCTGTAACTGGGTAGAATATAATCAGCAGTTATAGTTTTATTAATGAATGGCTTGGCCAAGCAGATATTTTCTCTTGAAGAGAAAATAAGGAAGAAAGAAAAAAAAAGGAAGAGAGGAAGGAAATCAAAGCAATAATAATATTACATACATAATGTAAACTTATTACATAATGTGAACACATATGAGCAGCCACGAAGACTTCAATGAAATTACATAAAAACTCTTTCATGATGCTGAAACAAAAGCAGCTCAGTCCATGCCCAGTTCTGATTGTAGATCTAGTATCCAGGACAGGAAAGGGCTTCATACCAAATCTGAGGTATTTCAAATTGGTGAAGGATGAAAGAGAAGTTTAGTTACACTTAACTGTCTAATATAGAGCATACAAAGTAATTTTTGTTTTTGTATAACACTAAGTACAGAATGTAATTATAAGCAATAAACAGTAAAGAATTAAACTTATACTTACAGCTTCACCTTTGTGGCCTTCACCTTTTTCTCCACGGGGTCCAGGTAGTCCAGGTGGTCCTGGGGTACCCTAAATACAAAGTAATAAATCAGGCACTGTGCATGTAACCAGATCACTGTAATGTAACACACTTAAAGGCCTCCACCAGGACTTAGAGTCATTTGTGAGAATGCTTTGGCTGTGACCATTCAACCAATTCTTTATCCACTGAATTATCCACCCTTTAAATTCATCTCTCTCCAATTTAGAGATAGCAGTGTCACATGGGATTGTGTCAAAGTAGATGTAGATGTCATTAGTCACCCTTCCATTGTTCCCAGAAGCAGTCACTCCATTGTAGGAAGGCCAACAGATTGGTCAGGTGTGATCTACCCTTAATGAAGCCATGCTGGCTATCTCACATCACCTCCTCTTCTTGCACGTGCCTTAACATATCTGCTCTATTATCTTCCCAGGCACAGACATGAGGCTTACTGGCCTGCCGTTTGTCAACTCTTCCTTTCTCTCTTTCTCTAGAATTGAAGTGATGATTCTCTTTTTCCAGTCACCAGGGATTTTACCAGACAGCCATGATTTTTTAAATATGATGGAGAATGGTTCACATCAGCCAGTTTCTTCAGGACCCTGGGATGCATGTCATCTGACTCCATAGACTTGCACATGTTGTCTCATAGAGTGGGCTCTGTCTTGCTCTTCTCTTAAAGTAGAAAGGATTTTGTTCCCCTAGCCCCCACCTGGAGGTTCAGGTACATGATAAATGTGGAAGGCCTGACTGCCAACAAGGCAAAAAACTTGAGTACCTCAGTACCTCAGTCTTCTCCATGTTCATTAAGGCCAGTTCTTTATTCTCATTTATCACAAAATAAAACTTAAAACTATAAAGTATCTCTCAAGGTACATTGGCAGTTTGCACTAAAGTTGTTCCTATGTGACTGCCAAAACAATTGGAATTCCTTGTTAATACTTGTAAGTCACACATTCACCCCACATCTAAGCATGGCACGCATACAGCCACACAGGGGACACTGCACATCCCCTCACACAGTACTAGAGTGCCAAGAAAGGAAAATGGACTCTACTGTAGATTGATGGAAGGTTAGTTCATAGAATCATAGAAACTTACAATCATTAAGTTTGGAAAAGACCACTAAGACCATCATCTAGTCCAACTGACAACTTATCACTACCATGCCTGCTAAACCATCAGCTAAACCACATGTCCCTCAGTGCCAAATTTACATACTTCTTGAATGCCTCTGGGGATGATGATTCCACCACTTCCCTGGGCAGCCTGTTCCAATGCCTCACCAGTCTTTCTGAGAATAAATTTTTCCTAATATCCAATTTGATCCTCCACTGGCACAACTTAAGGCCACTACCCCTCATCCTACCACCTTGGAGAAGAGATCAACTCTCACCTTGCTTCAACCTCCTTCCAGTAAGCTGTTGGAGAGTAATTAAGTTTTTCCCTGAGCCTCCTCTTCCCCATACAATCCCACTGCCCTCAGTTGCTCCATGTAAGACTTGTGTTCCAGACCCTTCAATACCTTCACTACCCATCTTTGGACACATCCCAGGGCCTCAATTAAAATAATAAAATATGAGTTCATCTCTATTTTTATTTTCAATAGTAAAAAACCTGCCAAACAGATTTTCATTTAATTTTAGCAAACCACTGTAAACACCAAACACACATTAACACAATCTCTTCTTTAACAACTGGGGTTCTGTCAGGTAGTTAGATTTGCCATTAGTAACATAACATAAATCATAAATCTACTGCCAAATCTGCTATAAGAGACAGCTCTTTAGCCCAAATTATGCAGTTGTTTGTGTGTTTTACTTTTAAAGTCTGCATCAGAAATACAATAGAGATGGCTACAATATAGCATGTCTATGATTACTGCTTCTCACAGCACAATTTTGTGGTATCTGGATAATACAACCCCAGTGACTCACGGTGAGTCAGTGTACTTGCAACAAGGCAGGTGACGTTGTCACGGATGACATACTGAATTAATTCACTGACACTACTTGTTTTAAAGTTATTTCCTGAAGGAGTACTGTAGAGACAGTTACTCTGTTGCTCCTAAAAATAAATGAAAAGAGAAAGGAATATAGACATAAATGTGCCCATAGCTTTCACTGTTGTAGACATCACCGGACATAAAAATGTTGCTCAGGCAGTTTCTGCACTTTCACAGGAGCTTTGCACATGTCTCAGATTTGCTTTCCAACTTTGTCTCAAAATTCCTACCTGTGGACCCGGTTTTGAATCTCCAGGACGTCCATCCTCTCCTGGTGGCCCAGTACGTCCTGGATCTCCCTATTTAAAAAGAAATAAAACCAAGGACATTTTCATTATTTTCATTATTAATATTTGAGGTTTTACAGAAAAGAACAAGTATTCCATTCCTTATGACACTGACACAACAATTGCTGAGCTAGGTAGTATGAAATCAGTACTTCAACAGGAAGTTACTACTACCACAAGCTAGCACAGGCTGGTGTAAGGCTGATGTAACCTTGTTCCTGCCAGAGCACAGTGGATAGCAAAGAAATTAAAAGTGATTGCAAAGACAGGGTATATTTAGAAAGGCTAAAGATGCAATTGCATATGGCACAGCATTTCAAAGTTGCAAACTCCACAGGCTGAATTTTATGAAGACCCAGGAAGAAACTTGAGTTTTTCTTCAGATATTACCCAGGGTAATTTTAGCCCTGCCAGTGACTTTCCTGGAAAGCAAAGAGGCTTAGATTTCACTTTTCTCATGCTAACTCTTGGACTTTGTCTGATGTTCAATTTATGGCAACAGATTTTTTACTTTACTTTAAGCATCATGAAAAGAAAAATTCAGTTTCCAGTGAAACTTTTGCTATTTTTTAAAAGTACTGAGAAAGTCAGTGTTTCAGGACATTCACTGGGGAATGCAGATCAAAGGTTCTGCCAAAACCATGTAGTAACTGCAACCATGAGAAAGGAATCTGAAGTAAAAACTGCTATCTAATGTTACTGTCTCCATATTAGTAACAGCATAATGGCTGTCTAGGGAAATGAACATCTAATCCCCAAACGTGGGTGTAGCTCAGAACAAATAAATTTCCAAATACACAACCACAGCTGTTCAGGAGTTAGATGTAGATCTACTATTACATTAAATATTTAGAGATATACTAAGAAGACCTCAGACCATGACAACTCCTGGGACTGCAAAGTATGCCATTTCCCTCACCTAATAAATTTATGCCTGGCTTCACTACTTCAGATACCAGGATATTCCAAGAACATGAATGCTAGCAAAACATTGTATTTTCCACGATGAAGAGAGAATACAGACCTGTACAGTCTGTTATATTTTTGAGCAGTTGGCAGAAACATAAGAGAATTTTGTTTAAACAAAAAAATTATTATGGAACTAAATCGGCAAAGATTTTTATATATTCTAAAAACCAACTTGCACTTTATAAATACTCAAACTACTTATACTGATGCACTAGTTTCTGCACATAAAAGCCTGATATAAAATCTAGTAAAGTCTGAAAACTCCTACAGGCTCCAGTGAATTTTTACTGTGGCTCTTCTGCTATGAAGGTGCAATGAACTGTACCAAACTGATCAAATTAGAGTGGAAAGGGCAGTAAAATCTACAAAGTTATTGTTTTCAGCTAGACTGTCATGCAAATGACTTACTGGTCTATTAAAAAATATCACACTAATGAAGAAAATGGCACTATGTCCAGAAGGCTGACAGGTGTTACAACATGTCACTTATATTTTCTTTTACATAAAGTTCTGCAAATTATTATGACTTTAATCTAAAATAAGAGCTATGAGCACTCACACTCCTTTCTTTCTTCTCAGTAGTTGCATTTTTACTACAGCTGTACCTTGATCTTGTTCTGTCTTTCCTACCTCATCTGTACACAAACCAGCTCAAACCACAACCTAGCCCTCTGTGATGTCCTGTTGCCAGGCTGTTAAGTACACTGAATATACAATACCTACGTGTGCATGTGTGTAGGTGCAAATATATGAAGGGATATACAATGCAATATACTGCATTATGCAATGCATATTATATGCATTATAATGCATATAATGCATATAATGCATATTATAATATATGCAATATGCAAAATATGCAAAATGCAATATACTGAAGGGAGAAGAAAACTGGGGATGAAATGTCTTCAGAGTCACTGAATTTGTGATTACTATACCAGAGCTGAAGAACATCAATTAATGCTGAACTTATTATTATAAAAACAGCCACTATTTTATTTATGAAATAAAAATGAGAATTTATGAATATTCAAATGTTTTCAAAACCTTCAAAGTTAGTTTTACTGTTGATAAATCAGCATATTTTCCTCAGAAGGACAAGTCCCATCCAATTCAAGTACATTTTTTCTGTAGATAAAATGAAGGGGATATAGCTCTAGTTATCTGGTATATAGTCTTTCATTTAAAGCACTGCACACAGTCCAGTTATTCTCTTGAAAATGACATGCAAAGATACACACAGAAACATTCACTTCCAAAAAGTCTTCTAGTTCAGCATATAACTAGTGGAAGTACACAAAGACACCTTCCTGCAGGGGCTCACTGCTGTATTCAAGAAATCTTTAGACTTTCCAAGAAAAAAATGCTTAAGAAAATGAGAAATAAGAGGAGATGAAAGTGATTAATTTAAAAGTAGGGACCAATACTTTTGTTTTTTATAAATGGCTTTAAGAAGCAATAACACCCACTAAGCCCAATACCATGTTAAATGGCCACAAAACACTATGTTACTTTTTGGTGCTTCTCAGTACTCTTGACCTCTAAAATGCACTCAGCATTATTACTACAAAAAAGAAATTTTAACTTCTTTAATTTACGTTCCTTCACCTTTGACAGAAATGTGCACTAAAAAATACCCAGTCGCTGGTCCCCAGCAGATGCATACTAGATAATCACCTTTGGTCCAGGGGGCCCCCGAACAGATGATCCAGCAACACCAGGTGGCCCTCTCTCTCCTGGTTCACCCTATTATAAAATAGCATAATTCTCATTTAAACAGTATAATTTTCTCCACAAGTAACAATTTTTTAAAAATATTTTCAAAACTTTATGTTATAAAAACATCTATAAAACTTTACATAAAAATTGACAATATTTGGGAAAAAAACATAAATCAACTTACAGCTCTCATGGAAGGTGGTCCAATTTTCAAGTTTTAAATGACTATTGGTTTAACTTCATATTTAGTTTTTTTAAAATAGTAATTAATTTTTTGTGTCTGGCATACTAAGCCAGAATAATAACCAGAATGCTGGTATTTTTTCGATTTACTTACCATTATACTTAATGCACACAAAATACTCTGATAGAAAGCTAATGTTTCCAAGACAAAATTTGCAAAATGTTTATTATTAGAATTACTTTGGCAATTTTAATTCAGCCTCCCAGTGCTCAAGCATAACTATAAAGTTTATAATTACATTTTCCTGTTCTTTCTCTTCTCAGGACTCTTACGTCATTTAGTAGAAACAGAACAAACAATAGGATTGTTTTGGCTTTTTAAAGCAAGGTACACTTGATAAATTTATATGTTAAATATATCCTATGAATTTTTGTATGAAATACAAAGTGAAGGGTTGCTCTGAAAGAAGCTTACTTTTGCTCCAGATATGCCTTTTTCTCCTTTAAGACCATTCTCTCCATGGGATCCTTTTTCTCCTGGGTCACCCTGAAGAAAGCAAAGCTTTGGTTTAAATTAAAGCAAAATTTCATTCACAGCTGAATGATGCCCATAATTAGAAATTTAGATGCTTCATTCAATCTGAAATCCCATTCAGTTTTTAGAATCTGCTCCAAATATCTTAAATTTAACTAGATAAGGGATAAAAACATTTGTTTACTCATAATCTTTCCAATCTTTTAATTTCATATTTAGACATCTAAATAGTCACATCATTTACCTTAGTTCTTTCTCTTTCCATATCAGCATGCTGAGACAGTCATAAAATGGCTTAGGTTCCACATATTACATTAGATTTAGGAAAATTATATAGGAAAGTTTTGAATATCAACTGAATTAGTGTACTGGAACAACTGCAGGTAATTCAGAAAATGAAAATTAGATTCAAATGAAGTTTAAGCATTCATCTTTGATTTGAGGTCTTGATGGACGTGGTAGTTCAGAGTCTGCCGTTGTTTAGCATCCCTGAGGTCCCGTTTCTGCAAGACAACTTTCCACTGGCATAAAACTGCCAGAACATCTCTGTGCCCACTGTTCATAGCAGACATCAAACTGTTCTTTGCATTGTCCTGAGTACACAAGTTAGTTGCTCAGTGCTAACATTTTAAGTTATAATGAATTACGACAATGAAGGTGATTATATCAAGATGATCATGGGAATAATGAATGTGAAAGAAAAATTCAGCATCGTCAAGTATAAAAGCTAAATGTAACTTTAACTCAACCTTTAGTCTCAATTCAGTTGTATCTTCCTGATACACCAAGAGCTTCATTTCAAAGAACTTTAATAGTAGGTGATTTCTATTCATTTTTTTTTCCAAAGTAACAACACAAATGCCACATATCTTTCCATAGTGGAATGTTGGTATTTGCACTGCCCTTGCAGCTGAAAAAACATGAAGGTGCATCCTTAATAGGTGTTAACTACAGCTATTCGGACACTTTCTGATTAAAGATTTATAGTTAAAAAATATTACACTGAATAATAGAATCATAGAATGGCCTGGATTGAAAAGGCCTGCTATGTGCAGGGTCACCAACCACTAGACCAGGCTGCCCAGAGCCACATCCAGCCTGGTCTTGTGAGGCACCCACAACCTACTTGGGCAACCTGTTAACCTGTTCCAGTGCATCACCACCCTCTGTGTGAAAAACTTCCTCCTAATATCTGACCTAAACCTGCCTTATCTTAGTTAAGACAGGACAAGGGGGAAAACCACTATCCACCCTTGTAAACAGTCGTACCCTCTCCTGTTTATACACTCCCTTCAAATATTGGAAGGTCACAGTGAGGTCTCCCCAGAGTCACATTCAGTTCATCAGTTCAGTATGTTAGTGAGGTGCTACCCTTGTATAAAGCTGCACAGCAGCAGACTTTGAAGGCCCCTGGATTGTCAGCAGCCATTCAACAACTAGCCAAAGCAATGAGTTTTGCTCACTCAGCACCTTACTCTCTTTCGATGAAGCAAAATTAAAACCCTCCTCCTTGCTCTAAATTGACTGTATTGGTCACTTTGATTTGCTGCCCTCTAAACTTTTTTCCACCATACTGAATTTATTAACCTTTCTTGTAACATGCCTGAGATTTTCTTAAAGTCTCAGAATTTCCCTTGGAAACAAGGAGCTTTGATTTTGGATCTTTGTGGCAGTTTAGATACCGTGCTGGAAGACTTCAGCCACAGCTCACAATTCTTCTAGATATTGCAGGCTACATCAATTTAGCCTGATTTCTTTGTGTCAGGAAAAATCTGAACAAACTTTTAGACAGAAGACATTATCTGTTGTGAAGACTGTGAAAATTAGTGGAAGTCAACAGCCCATAAAAGGCAGGACTGCTGAAACTGCCGCATATTCAGATGACAGTCACTGTAAACAAAATTTGCTGGAAACATCTCAACTATCACCCTCCTGTACTACACAAATCTATTGGCACATGCTATCCCCCAGGATGAACTGCTCGTTATTAAATATCTGAAAAGTATTAAAGGCTGAGTTTGGTCTTCTTTCATCTAAGGCTTTTATATGCAGGAAAACACATTTTCTTACCCTTTTGCCTGGATCCCCAGGGATTCCCTGAATTCCTTTCTCTCCTGGGACTCCTGGTTGACCTGTATCTCCCTTAGAGAAGAATAAATAATAGTATCTGCATACATCAATAAATTATTTCATTCTGTAAAATGGTTCTAACAGTGTGTTAGAATGTTAACTCATTAGATACAATATTTTTACTCAGGTAAAGGTTGTTATTCCCAATAAGTTAAATATTCTATAGATCCAAAAAGATAGGTATTCTGAAGTTCTCTTAAAGCCTACATCTTAAGTCTTGGTTTTGTGTTAAATAAATTTACATTTATTCAGCAAGTAAAAACATGGATGAAATTTGATTGTTATTCTGTGTACAATGCTAACATAATAAAAAAGCAATTTTCTTGCAAAGTCAAACACTATGGATTTAAGGATTGCTCAGTCTAAAATGCCTGTGTAAACTAATCATTTTTCTTGTGAATTTGTATTATAATCTTTGGTTTATCTGAATATATTGCACTTCATGAGTTGGATGATGCTCACAGACTGGTTTGTTCCATAAATGAAAGTGGGAATTGAAGACTGCCTCGCTTGTTGTATAAACTGGTCTAGGCATTGCTTCTAAGACAGACCTTGCAACAAGGAGTTGAAAATATCTATAGGAACCAGTCCTGCCCAGTGCTTCTTCCATGAAAAAAATCACCAAACTCAAAATACCCATGACACTTCACCCAATTTTGGGGGAATTCCTATTTGAAATGGCAAGGTTCTTGTACACAGCTTTTGTAATGGCAGTTGAAGTCAAAGCCGTAAGCGCTTACCATCTTTTCAAACATGAAAGCAGTGTGAGCACTGCCATCAGATAAGACCAAATTGTTTCCAATCACTGTGGAGGAATAGAGGTAGTGGCAGCATTTCTAACAGGCCATAGAGGTATCTCACTAGCTTAGAGAAGATGGGAACAAGCTCTTTCTGTTATGGCTGCAGTAATGGTGTTAGGAGCATGGGAGCCTTAGAAGGACATTTTGATTCTAAAGGGTAAAAATTTGAAATGACAGGAATATCTAGATCTCATAGATTTGATTTGATTTTAGTTAATTAACAGAAACAAAATCTTCTACTTTATTTATCAGTAACATGGGAAAAAAAACAGAATTCACTGTAAGAAACAGTTGAAAACAGGCTCACTTTTAACCCTCGTTCTCCAACTGCTGGGAGTCCTGGTTCTCCTTTTTGTCCACGTTCACCCTGTTCACCCTAATAACAAAAAACACTTCTGTTTGTATTACTTAAATAAGTTGTTTACACATAGAAATGGTCAAATTTTCAGTCATTTTTGACTGAAATATTCTTTTCTGTCAAAACTCCAGTAACTTGTAGGACTGCACCTATTTTATTCAGCCATGCACTGTGGAAAAAGTCTAAGTAAATAATTCCAACTTCCTTCTTCTTGTTCTAATTCATTTAAGTGCACTGTATTTTCTATTTTATATTCATATATCAAAGACTCTGCTTTCACTGAAAGAAAGATAATTCCATATAAAGAAAAATCAGAACTTCTGTTTAAGAGAAAGTTTTGCCCTTGTGATTCTTTCCAGTAGTATAAAACTAGTTATTTCTAAAGAAATAGGAATTTAATTTTCCAGTTATGTTTTTCAGATTGGTTTTCACAGTAAAGAAATGTTTTCATATATAATGTTTCAGAACTACCTATTTTTCCCTACATTACTATTAAACATTGTTGCTGTGACTGCTACTTATGTGCCACAGTAACGTCCAAATGAACATGACTGTACTTGCTGCTTTTGCTGGAGTGACAACTGATTCTTTTGTAAATCAAGGTGATTAAGAAGCATACATCCACTTCATAATTTATCAGTTCATTCCATTAGCTCTCCTGAATATTTTGCCAAATTCCCTTTTTTCTCTCACGCAGCTCTTACCTGATACTAGATATTGCTAGAGGCTTGGACTTTGGAAGCAGTAATTCTTTACCCTATTTTCTCGTATGGTGCACGGTTGCCTACTATATTTAAGTTCTTTTCTCTCAGTGTTTCTACCTTTGGTTTTGGTTCTCTCTCATGGTCACCGTGGAAGGCTGAAGGATAGACAAGCCTAATGAGTCTCCAAACTGTAACTGGTTTACAGCTAAGTAACTTACTAAAATTATATAAATGTAATATGTATGAGGAATTAAATTCATTTGATAGAAACATGTCTGAAAGACACTTTGTTTATAAATTTGTGTTCACCTAGAACATAAAATCCATATTCAAAAAGCAGAAGTCTCATGTTCCACTTAGAAAACATGAGTGTTTTTCCCTCAAAGATTCAAAAGTGAATTGCTATTTTCAATGAACAGTTCTCCAGTGAACTTTTTCACCTCACGAAGCGCAATCTTGAAAATCTGGCACAGATACACTGCTTGTTGCTTCTTGCTAGTGAAAGATATTTTTTAAAATAATGTATTAATTATTACCTTTGGACCCTGAAAACCAAAACCTTTAGATCCTTTTGGCCCAGGATTTCCTTTTGGACCTTGCATACCCTATAAAACAAAAATGCATTATTTTCTTCTATATTTGAAATTAACCATGAGTCTATCAGCTTACAATTATATTATTTCATCACTGTCATTTTTCTGTGGATTTTACAGCCTCACCCAAGTGTAATGATCACAGTTACTCTTTAGGGAGAAAGCAAATGGGAAGCATCTCAGTATCTGCATGTAAGATCTGATTCACTGGTACAGTATGTGGTAAGCATGAACTTTAATCAACTTTTCTAAAAACAAAACAAAAACCAAAAACACAAAGCAAAATATCTTTGGACATTTCTGTTATTCTGCATCCACCTATTCAAGGCTGTGTTCAAGTTTCAACAGAGCTTGAAATTCAGAACCAGTGGACTTCAGGGGCAGCTCTGTGTTCAGTCGTGGCTGGGTCTCTATGAAAAGCCTGGATGAAATGCAGGACAGATCATACAATATATATCTAGGCTGTTCATGGGTTTCCTCTGACTTAAGAATGAAACAGACAAATACATGATTCAGCTCATGCTAGCTGTCTCTGGCATATTTGCAGCTCAGTGTCTGTCTGTCCCTCATTCAAACTTACCTGGCTTCCTGGATTACCGAATCCTGGTGGTCCTGGTGGGCCCTGTGGTCCTACCTGGCCTTGTTCGCCCTATACAAAAAGGATTCCAGAGTGCTAAATTGCAATAAACCATGTTAGCTGATTAACATGCTTAAATTAATCACAGAGTAGTAGTGCCTCAAGCTAAATTATTTTGAATTGCGCTGCTTCTTTTTGAGAGAAATAAGAATTCTGAGTAGAATCATAGAATGGCTTGGGTTGGAAGGGATCCCAAGAATCATCCAGTTCCAACCCCCTGCCACAATACCTTAAAATCTGCTTAGGGCAATTGATTTAATGAAATTTCTTCATTCCTTCAAACACTATCTCATTTATAATAGACAGTGAAGGCTAGAAGAATCAGTAGCTTATATTTGCACACAGATTAACTTGAAGGATTATCTTGCATTGAAATATACAGCTTCTTGCACAACACTCAGAAGAAAAGCTTGTGACCATGAAGAAGACAGTTAGAGAATATTTTGGAAAAATCTTTGTCAAGTGGTATCACACAGGTTTTCTATAGCACTTAAGGAGAGAACGGAGGAATTATGGTGGGGAGGTATTGGGAGGGTATGGGTACTGGGAGAGGCACATGCACAAAGATATCCAGGATGTGTGACCCCAGTCCCTAGAAAACAATAATTCATTTCATTTACACCAGAAGATCTTAATTACTGAAATTGTTCCAAATACTTGCTACCCTGGCCATCACTGCATTTTTGTGATCCTGAGAACCAAAAAGCTAACACATTTCAGAAGCCAGAGTGTTTCTTTATCTGTCTCAGGTCCATTAGACTATACGACCAAAAGCGTGTTCAATATTTTTTAAATATTCAAATGACATTTTATACAACATTTTGGAAATAAATTTATGCGGAACAAAAAAAGTCTATTTCTTCCCTCATACTCCGTACTGCACAGAATACAGTGCTTGGTACTTGCAGTTAACATTATGAGACTCATTTATTGATACTGATAAGCACAGTCTACGAAGCTGCATTGAATGTATAAAGTAGTTCCTGAGATTCAAGGATTCACTCAGATTCTTAAGATTCACACAACTTTTGTGAAGTTCTGTAAATAATTCATCTTTTAATTTAATATATATATAACTAACTTTAAATATGATTAGGAAAATATTCAGTCCCTCACCTTGTTACCTTTTATTGATTGACCTGGCAGTCCCTTTGGACCAACTTTGCCTTCAGAGCCTTTTTCACCCTAGAAATATGAGAAAGTTTGGAACTGTACTAAGGAATTTATAAAGAACATCCAAGACAAACTGACAGCACAATGTGGATAATGAGAAAAAAAGTTTTCCTTTGCAAACAAACAAGAAAAACAGTCAATGGAATTACTAGTTTTACAGAAAAGCAATTCAATTATAGTTCATAATTCCATCTACATTCATTGTGTTGTTGAACAGAGCTTCAAAAGGAGTAAACTAAACTCTGGGAAATGGAGAGGCACATTTTGAGAATGCGAAAATAAGTTCATTTTATCAGTAAATAGAGTGGCTCAGAACCTTCCAGTGCAAGGAAATGGCTAACATTGTTTCCATGAAAGGAAGAAAAATCTGCTTTATTTAGTAGTTCAAGGCTCTAGAGAATCTAGAAGTCACTCAAGGATTCTGATGAGAAGCCTGGTCACAATTTTACCATAAGTCTTTGCTTGTTTCTATTTATTTTTAAAAAAAGAATGTTTACATGTATTATCAAGTGCCATTAATGAGGTAACTGTCCACAGAGACTCATATAACCCATTTTTTAGTTTCTGAAAATGGTATGACAGAAAGAAAACAATTCTTGAATATTTTCTTCCAATAGAGAACATAGATAATCTTTCAGAAGACAATGGTAACAAAAATATGATATCTTATTGAACACATAAATAAGACAAGCACTGACTTCTTGAGAGGAACAGTACAGATCTTTTGTAATTATCTTGATAGTTTTGAACTAGGAGGGATATTCAGAGAGCACGGTGATTCAGAAGACTGAGATGGAAAATCAATTCTCTTAAATAGCTTAGACTTTACAGCAGATTTGTTCCACCTTGTTTAAAAAGAAATAAATTCCATAAAACTACCTTTTGGCCTTGAATACCTTCTCCTTGTTCACCTTTCTCACCTGGCAGACCAACAGGGCCACGTGGTCCCTGTAAGAAAAGAAAAAGAATTAGATGACATCAGCATTTCATTTCTTACTGACTTTTTCTCTAACTGCTAATATAGCTCCTAGCAACTCTTACAACACAGACAGCTAGCAACAGCTCCACAACAGCTGGCTGAGTTCAAGTGATTAAAACAAATTGTAATAAACCATAATTGGAGGATTTCGATTAGAAGCTAATGCTGAAATGCCCTGAACATAATTAATGTTTAAAGATGGTATCTTTAAAACCCAAGTGTAACTCTGGAATAAATTACAGTAATGATATTTACTGCTGTAAAATTTATTTCCTATAATTTTGTGTACCTGAAATGATGTCAGTCACTAATTTGAACACATTTTTTTTCCATGCAAAATGACTGGCTTAACATACATACTCAGAGAACGTCAATTTTGTTTTAAATAAATACTAATTACTTTTTTATTGTAGTAAATTTCTGTTCTTCCAGAAAAATCAGCTCTTCTATTATTTTAAAGATACTGAAGAGTTTTTAAGGATGATGTTGGTTAAATTAAAATGTTCCCACTTTTTTGTGTGTGGGGGAAAAAAGTCTTTCACTATCAGTAGGGGAAACTCAAAACTAATATTAGAATGACTTCTAACAGCTATTTACATGGTTTCTTAATTAACAATCTTTTTGTGATTTTTAATGGAATAAGAGAACAATATATTACATACTCTGAACAACAGGAAGAAAAAATCTCCAGCAAGCACTTATTAACAGCGAAGAAAGAGTGCAATCCTTTGCTAAAAACTGAAAATACCTTCCAAGGAGGCTATTAGAAAAAGAGAACTGTTTCTCACAGCTACAAAAAGCTTGCTAAAGGTAACTTGCTCTGACTTGGGAGTTAAAAATATAAGTAAAAGTATATCATTTTGGAGCTTTGTACTTTATGCAAATCACATTACAGATAAAAGTTGCAAAATACCTCAGTTCCTGAATTTTCACCTTCTTACAATAATATTTCAGACTATTTTTAAATATATTCTCATCTCAGAAAAGTAGGAGTACATCTATTAACATACAATTCCACGTCTGTCTGCAAGCTGAATACTGTAATCTTGCTCACAGGGACCAAATAATTTTTTATTTCACCAGAACACGTTTGGACATGGCTTAATTCTATTACTCTGGTAAACCACACAAAATTACTGTTGCAATATTGGGCTGGCATAGCCAAAAACTCCTGTTGCTCTAGGTTATGCAGAGGGGTTTATGGAGTCTATGGAAACAGCAGCTGCTGTTGATCACTAAGGCTTACTAAAACTTATTAAGGCTTACTTATTTTCACTTCCAATACACATATCAATGACTTACTGTTATTCCTGGCTCACCAATTCCAGCAGGCCCTGGATGTCCAATTCTACCTTCTAAACCCTGAGAACCCTTGTGAAAAATAATTAGAAAGTTCAATTTTAGTTCAGTTTGATGCTTCTGAAAAGAGAAACTTTTATATATAGATGACTTAAACATGTCATCAGAAAGGTCTGAAATCAAATATCTCTTGAAGTAAAACAAATAATATAAAACAAACAAATAAGATAAATTAGAAGCATTTGAAAACACATTTCAGTTAACACTTGGAATCCAAGATTGTATTTCAGCCCTCATGCCAACAGCAGAGTGTAGAAGCATATTGGTTCATTGGTGAAAACACAGTATGACAAATCTGTCACTTGGTTGTATATTTCAGTAATTGAGATGTATTTCTATGCTTTGAACTATGTTTACTCATTAGTGCTTGACTCTGACCACACATATTCAGTCCTCATTTAAATGATATCATGTCTGACATATTTCAGCACAATCATAATGAAAACTTAGGGTTGAGCAAAAGGCAAGCCAGTTGCCTCATTCCTACGCAAACATGCAAACCTATCAATATCATACAAGTTTTATATTTAGACCAAAAGAATTTGAGTTTGATAAAGTGAGCACTTTCACCCAAAAATGTCTGTACATTGTTAGCACCTCAATGGATGTGTGTATAATTGAGACTTACCTTGGGTCCTGGCTCTCCAATGCCAGGGACTCCTGGAGGACCATATGGACCTATAGGACCTTGTTCTCCCTAGAAAAAAAAACATGGAAGGAGACTCCTAATGCAATAGTCTCTTTTCTTGATCAAATTCCCCCACATTACCTGTCCACTCCATTGTTTAGGGCTATAGAAATATGTATCTTAAGTTAAAAAATTAAATCTTTTAGAGTGGAATGTTTAGGTTAGTAGCAAGGTCAGCATCCCAGCAATAAACATTGCTGCAGTAGATAATGATATTAAAAACCATTTGAAATATATTTGTTTCCATTATGTCTTTGTTTCTGACTTTATTCAGTAATTTGGTACGTGTTTCCTTTGCTCCTTTCATTCCCAGAGAGACGTTCATTTGGAAATCAACTCACATTTATGTTTTAAACGAAGAATTAATTTTTTTTTCACCTCATAACTGTTGTTCCTAGTGCTATCTTTGAAGCAGCTCCTAATTCTCTTGTAGGTTTAATAAATTTCTAAGAAATCCATCATATCTTCTACAGAAAACAAGCTTCAGATCTCCTCAAAACTGACACTTGGAGATATAAGCAGGGGTCAGGCAGGTACAGTCCTTTGAAGGTCTGATCTTCATTGCCTGGAGTGCCTGCCACAGACTGATGCTACAAATGCCAGTCGACACAATGTTGGATACATTCTGGAATCACTGCCTCAAAATCTTATTAAGATCCAATTTAACCTAAGTAATTCTCAGATTAAAACTTCATGTAGCTGATGTAGTAATAATGATTTCCAATCACTTGCAACTTAGAATACTTAAAAGTTCTCCAAGACAGAATGAACTCAGTTAGTCGATAATGAATATACATTCTCCTTCCATGCACTTCACACAGATTACAACCACTGTGTTGAACAGGCTCCACACTGCTCTGTTCAGAAATTCCAGTAAAACTGATAGGATAACTGCACATTAATTTGTCCCAGGACCCTGGTACAACAAGGGACCTTGAGCATGATCTCACTGGGCTTACATGTGTTTAAATACAAACTGTTTCCAGTATATAGGAAGGCTAAACACTCAGTATCTACAATTTTTTTGAAGATTAAGGCTCAGCTGGAAATTCAAGTATTATAGTTAGTGAAAACTAATGCAATCTGTGATGTTATAGGCACAAAGAATTCCAAAATTATTTTATCTCAACTGAAGAATAACATGCCTCAAATGCATTTTCATTTTATTTCTAGAAAGTTCATAAAATGAAGATATACAAATTCAAAGACAACTTAGAATTCCTTATAAATGGGATAGTCTGAGATAGTTATTAAAAGATAAGATAATTTGAAAAATAGCAACGAAATTTAATGCTTATTCAAAAGAGCACACTTTCTGAATTTACTAAGTTAATACAGCATCAAAAAAATAATTCTTATCAGGTAGATAAAACTCAGAGAAAGCTGGTACAACTTTGAAAACATATGTAACCAGGAGAGTTGAGAAACTAATAGGATTTTACCAACATCCATGCTGCTTCAGTGTGCATTCAATGCACGTAGATCTTGCCAAAATATAGGACATAGCAAACAAGTTTAATGTATTTCTTGATACAGCTTCTGTCTGGATTAAATAACTGTATTTATTTTCATAAAGGCTTTGGACCAGAATCCCAAGTCAGTGCATATCCAGATTATCATAAACGATGCATTTCTTTACTGATATAACAAAAATTAGAATCAGAGAATCAGAGAATAACTGAGTTGAAAGAGATCCACAAGGACCATTGGGTCTATCTCCTGGCTTCACACAAGACTACCCAGAATCCAAACCCAATGTCTGAGAGCATTGTCCAAGTGCTTCTTGAACTCCAGCAGCTTGGTGACATGAACACTGCCCTGTGCAGCCCATTCCATGCCCACTGCCCTCTGGTGCAGACCCTTTCCCTATTCCCTAACCCCCAGCTGCCCCTCCCCTGACACAACTCCATGCCGTTCCCTCAGGCCCTGCCACTGTCGCCACAGAGCAGAGCTCAGTGCATACCGAACAAAGTGAACTCAACAACTTCTCACACATCTTTCTCTCTAGACTCTTCACCATCTTTAATCTCCTCCTTTGAATACTCTTGAACAGTTTTATGCTCTTTTTATATTGCAGTGCCCAAAACTGCTGTCAGTGCTTGACGTGAGGGCACAGCAGAGAAGAGTGGGACAAACTCTCCCAGCTGGCACTGCTGGTTCTGATGCACCCCCAAGTTACGGTTGACCTGTTTTGTTCATAGCTGTTTCGTTTTTTCTCCTCAAAAGGCCCATCTTCTGGACATCCAGTTCCTCCAGGGAATTAATTTGGAATTGAACATAATGTCTTTGTAAATTCAGCTGATCAAAATCAATTTTATTATTTCCTATCAGCAGGAAATTTAAAGAAGGCCAAGAATAATACAACTAAAGCTAGCACCGGTCTCCACTTTAATTCTGTTTTCAAACTCTATTTTAAGAACTGCTGTCCTTTAAGTGAACAGTTAGCTGAATTTTTAGGAAATAATATACACAAAAAGCCACATTTTCAGAAGTTAATTAGAAACCTCCTTTTCAATTCCAAAAGGAGGAATTTTGTCTACCGAATTTCGTTACTGTTGGCAGGTCACAATGACTCAAGTATTAATGCAAGTTCAGCTTCTGAGTGTGCATCAGTTTGTAGAGGTGCAGAACAGTACCAGCTGTGTCAGCACTGGGCACACCCAGAGCCCCATGATGTGCTCCACTTCCAGGGCAAAAGCATCCCTACGAGATGTGGCAGACTGGAAAACTAACACAACATAAATAGCTGATTACTGCTGTCTCCCCACTTTCTGAGCCTGCATCAGAAGACTACTGAGGTCAGTGCATTTTGATCCAACAAGCTTTGCGCAAGTCAGTTTCTTTATAGGGATGGGGAAGCCCAGAAGGTAACACAGCAATGGCCTTGGCTTCCCTCTCCTCCATTATCCACTGTTACTGAGAATCTCTCCCACTCCTTTTAGTATTCTGCAAGACTTGCTTAAAACATGCTAGTGTGACAACCATTTGTCCCACTAAATTCACATGCTGACAGGATGAGCTGTCTTTGACAACTGCTGGAATGGGATCCCAGCTCTGGCCTCCAGCCTGAGAAGCTGTAGGCTCTGCCAGGGATCACATCCTCAAGAGATGCCATCTCACCCTGCTACTGCTAGAAATGGTACACACACACATTGACAAGCCAGCTGTAGCTGCTGCTGAGCTTGGTGCTTGTTTATCCCAAGGGCACAGCCGCATATTCATGTTTTGCCATGGTTCTTCCCTCCTGTGCTCTCTCCCCATCCATCCCTCTCACACACTCACTACAGAGATCTGAGTTGGCAGCCATGGACAGGCTAAGCACAGTGGCTCCTTCTGTCAAAGCTAAACCTGAAATCATGTAGGAACTTGTTCCATTCTGAAAAATTTTGTTTGGTAAGTACAGGCTCCTCTCTGAGCCGAAACAATAAACTGTGTCCCTTTGTTCTGTTTGGAAAGAGCTTCATATCTGTTTATAACAGCTTCCAAAGAGAACTTTCCAAAGACATCTGAGGAATGCTTCCAATTACAAATCATTGGCTCCTTCCCAAATTCACCCATGTGTTAGAACTATGTTAATATTTGTGCTGTCTTAATGGGAATCCAAGTGAAGTTAGTATTTTTCCAAATACTCAGTTAAACTTTTTACTCTTTGATAAAGGAGAATGCCTGAAGATGACTGGAAAATAAAAATTATCTTTCCTAGGCAGGAAGCAAAATCTGAAACTTAAACTATTTCTATCTAAACTATTTCTAAATATCTAAACTATTTCTAAAGACAGTGTATTTCAAGCTTCATATTACTAATAATATGAGTTACTAATAAGACCGGTGTTAATCTTCTGCTGTCATGGTGCTACAGGTAATATGAAATGTATTAAAACAATTAATTGCTGTCAGAGATATTACTGACATTCAGAGGTAAAATTCTGCTTTCCAAAATAGTCTCCTTGTAGTTACCTTTTTTTTTTGTTGAGCACTACTCAAATTCTACCTTCCTTCTCTGTTGGGATTTTTTTTCAAGATGCATTTAATATCAACTAGAGCAACAGAAAGAAAAATTTCATCTGAGCTTAACATTTTAACATTAAAACTAGACAATTTTGGGAATATAATTAAAAGTCTAACTCTTAGCAAAGAGATTTTTATGATTAGTGCTGCTATAAACAACTTCTTTACTTTTGAGACGGCAAGTACACACTGCAAGGAACAGAAAGAGTGTATTTCAGAGCCCTTAATACTATAATGTCTGAATGACAACAATTAAACTAAAAAGAAAAATAAGCTTTCAAATGTAATGATTTTCCTTTCAAAGTAAACAGTAGAAACAGCAATGTAAGCAAATACAGATATTTAACAGATATTACTGATATTTTACATTTCTAAGCTAGCTGTGCTACACTGTAACTATGTTACTGTATCAGGAAACTGTATTTTTCTGTCTCCTGGGAAGGATGTAACTTGCCAGATAAGCAAGGAAAGAATCTGTGAGTCATGAGAGAAGGAGCAGGAATAGTTCATTCTGGGACACATTCTCAGGAAAAAATGCAATAATGGATTTTGCATAAAAGTATTACCCCAAGATATTTTCAAGGAAATAACTAATTGAATATCCACATTCAAACTTAACTGTTTCATTCCTCAGAAGTTTGAATACACATCAGTTCTCATATTAAATGGTAGTTGAGGATCCTACCATGCATATGAAATTTTCCAGAGTGGCTTTCACTTTAACAGTGGCTTTTAAAGAATGTTGTCTGTCTTTCCAGTAAGGAATATCTCTCAGTTCCTGGAAATGTGTTTGTTTCCTTTCAGTAGCTCGTCTAAGAGTTTAAACGAGCCACCCCAATGTTATTTCTGAAATGAGAGCCATAAGAACACCTTGTAAGTGGCTATCTCAGCCACACAAGTCATATCCACTCCTAGATTTTATGCCTCAATTTTATAACGTGTAACCAAATCTGTTTGTGAATTATCAACTTTTTTTTTTATTTTAATATTCAGTCCCTCCC